GTGGTGCAGCAGGAGACTAGCCTGGGTGCAGCAGGAGGCTTGTTTGGGTGGATCCTGTGTTTTCCAGATCTAGAAGCGTTTGTTTTCCTACACATGCTAAGCGTCATATTCCTCTCTGAAACACTACGCTCCAATATTGCAATGCCTCTGTTTTGCTTAGATCTAGGGTATCAGAGTGGTAATCATTGGAGGCTGATTGGTTTTTTCGGTCGTAAGCCAAAGGAAAAGGATGAGGTTGGTGAAGTCGCTGCAGGGGAGATTGCCTTTTCAGTCTCAAAAGGGGCTCTAGTTCCCTTATTGAAATTTGGCAACAAGGGTTTGCAAAGGATTGCAATAGTTAGGGCATGGTTGGGAGCCCATGGCGACAAGGGAGGTGCCTGGGTTTGTATGGAGGTGCATAGCCCTCCTATTGATTGAAACTGTTTTTAGGGACGACATATAGTGGGTTGGGGACTGCTAATGTCGAATTTTCCCTGCTCTCCCCATGAAGCTGGCTAAATAAGTGAGGACGTCCAGTAGTTTCAGACGCTCATAGCGACTTTCTTTTTCTACTTTTGTAGCCCTATTTTTGCCCTTACAGTGATTGTAGTTACAATCTTTAGTCATAGATGGCTCTTTTCGCTTAATTGTCCATATATGTCATGGGCACAGTTTAAATTTATTACTAATGCTGTAGGTTACGCTTCTATGCTTAATTCGGCTATTATGCCCTGAGATTCATCTGTAATCTCCTTATATTTAATATAATTCTCTTTTTTCTATCAAAAAAAAAAATTAAATGTAATTAAAAACAATAAATAAATTAGTTAATGAAAGGAACAAACATTAAATTTAAAATCTCTCAAATTCTTCACCTAGTTTCTTCAAACCTGATCCGAAAAACCAGATCTGAAAAACCAAATCTCTACTCCCTTCCGTTCCCCATTCCTTTTTCTCTATCGATCTCTAGCCCATCTCCTCATCTGTTCTTCTCCCTTCTTGCTTTTTTCTAATCTAAAGACCATCTCTACATATTTTCTCCTTCTCCCATCTCCAGCTCAATCTAGCCTCCTCCTTTGATGTTGTTTGTAACTAGAGAGGATATCCAGCCAAAAATCTCATCAATTTGATTAATTCTTCTATTTCGATCTCAGAGAAAGAGTGAGTAAGATGTGGGTCCTGTTTCTCGGTGGTAAATTTATCATAAATCCTTGGGCTTCCCTAACTCATGCGATGCAAATATGGGCTCCCCAGATTGTGGTCAACGGATTGGAGTTGGGTCTTGGTTCCTTCAACATTGCACGATTGTGCAGCTGCCGGAGGAGTTGCAGATTTTAGATTCGATGGGTCTAGGTTTTTTTGGGTTTTTGGGTTTTTGTTTTATTTGTTTTAGGGATTTGGTGCCAGATTGTTCTTTGCTAAATTGATTTGGTGGTCGGTTTTCTTTTGGGCAAACATACAATTTTGGTGGAAATCAATCATGTTTATGATGGATTAGATTTAATCGAGTGATTTTGCTGCGATTTTGATCAGAGATGAATGAGGATGGACGAAGATGAGGGCAAATAAGTACTTTTCCTTATAATTTGATTACCAGTTAAATACAATGGCAATTAAAGGCTGATGTGTATCGAAAATTTGGTCCACCTCATCATTTTGAGCACGTGGAATTTCTTTGTCATTTATGTAAAAAGAAAAAAAGTTGTTTTCCGTTAGTTAACAAGACACATAAGCAAATAGTTAACGACACGTAAGTAAATAGTTAACGGAGGACAGAAAAGCCAAAATGTCAAATTTTAGGGATTAAATGAAGGATTTTTTAAGTTGAGGGACTATTAAGAGACCAAATTTGGGGTGTTAACCAAAACGGGAAGTGCTTTCATTTTCTTATAACCCTGAAATGCAATGATTCGGCATCTTAAATTGACTTAGAATTATAAGTCTGCATTGCTAAATTAAAAGAATTTATCCTGCTGAAACAAAGCGCTTCCTTTTGGTTGGAAGTGCGCCAAGGGATTAGCATATATCTCCATCGACAAGAATGCAGGAGACGTGGAGAAAATTTGGCCTTTGTCTCTGTTGCAATTAGCAAGGGTGAGTTTTTCTTTTATTTTTTCTAATCATAAAATTTCCTCCAATATAATAACAAAAGAAAAGGAAATTTCTGTCCCATAGCTTTCTAGTATTAGTTGAGATATGGATATGTTTAATTTTGAGTTGATAATTTTGTTTTAGGCTATGAGAGACGCACGGAGCAATCATTTTTAAGGGAAGAAATAGTAATAGCTATTTTTTGTTTTTATTTCTTAATTTAATAAAAAATATGCTCAAATCTTAAAGTTAATTTATTTATTCTAAATTTGTCAAAAGTATAAATTTTATTTTATTTTTTTTTATTTTGACTAAGGAATTTGAAGTTTATATACATTGAGTGCTGAGCAAAGTTTACATTTAAGGAAAAAACAAATCTGCTGACTATCATACTAGTCCTTCCTGCTTTGTATTTTGTTTTTTTATTAATTCATTTAACTTGTCTTGCAGCTCAATCATATAATATTAGAGCAATCAATTATAAGAGCAATGGTAGTTGGTGGGCGAAGGGATACTGTCTACTTTTTGGCTACCTTTCTATCTCTGTTTCTAATATCATTGCCTCTGACAAATGTTGAAGCTCTTGGTTATCCATCAACTGTGATGCCACCACCAGTCTCTTGGACTAACATCGTACCAAATAACTTCAGTTTTTGGGAATCAGCATGGGTGAGACCTATCTTGGTTAATGGGAGTTTTGTTTGTGGCTTCCACTGCAAATTTGAAGGAACTCCCTGCCTCTTTGCTATTTCCATCTTCCAACCTAAACTTGATAGCAACTTCAAATTTTCTACACAAATGGTATGGTCTGCTAATCGAAACATGCCGATTGGACTTGGGGCAAAATTGCAATTTTCTCAAGAAGGGGATTTAACACTGGTTTGGTCTACAAACACAACAGGTAAATTTGTTTCAGGAATGAAGTTAACTCATCAGGGTAACCTTATAATGTTTGATAGAAACAATGAGACGGTTTGGCAGTCTTTTGATCATCTGACAAACTCTTTGGTTATTGGGCAGAGGCTAGTTTTTGGGCAGAAATTAGTGGCAAATATTTCAACCACAAATTGGAGTGAGGGTTTATTTTCATTTTCAATTGATAATTATGGTTATTTTGTAGCTTCTGTGGAGTCGACACTACCGTAGTCTATTATCAATACCTTGGGTCTCAAAAAATAGGCCAAATGGGGCAGTTTTATGCTGAGGTGACGAACATGACTTTTGGTCTCTCTTCTATAGGATTTGAATTTAGTTTTACACAATTAGGCTCTGATGGGCACTTGAGGTTCTTCAGGTGGGTAGAATCCAACTGGGAGGAAGTTGATGATTTCTTTGGGGATCAACTTAATTGATGTGATTATCCACTGGCCTACGGAAAATATGGAATTTGTCTAGAAGAAGGATGTAGTTGCCGACAACCGGTTGAAAAAAGTGGACCTATGTTTTTCAGGCTGATAGATCCTTCACGGTCAAATCTTGGGTGTTATCCAGATAATCCAATATCTGGTGGGTCTCCTCAATGGCAGAGTCTTCTTGAGCTGAAGGATATAGATTACCCTGCTTTGTCAAGTTTGAACTCTCCTGCTTATATCAGAACAGACATAAAGAGCTGCAAGAGAGCCTGTTTAAAGAACTGTTCTTGTATGTATGCTCTTTTTCAACCTTCTGATAAAAATTACTAAGATCCTGACTACTACTTTCTTAGATCTAAAGCTTTGTCATTTAAGAGAGCGCCTGCACATTTAAATCAATCTCTGTTTTTAAAGGTGCAAAATTCTCCAATTGCACAGATTCCACAAAGTAATCGTTGATCACCAGCACAGATTCCACAAAGAAAGAGAAGACAGAATGTGGGAGTTGTAGTTGGATCCACTCTTGGAGTCACTCTTAGTGTGCTTCTTATCTACACTTTTTTTTTCCTTCAAATGAATAAGGATGCAAAGGATGTTGAGGAGGATTATCTGGGCCACATATCAAGAGCGTCCATGAGATTCTCTTATGAAGAGTTAAAGGTTGTAACCAACAACTTCAGCAAGAAGCTTGGCGAGGGAGGATTTGGTTGTGTTTTTCAAGGTAAATTACCTGGAAGTGCTAAAGTTGTAGTAAAGTGCCTTGATGGTTTTAGTCCTATAAAGTTGGTTTTTTTTTTTTTTATCTTGGTTACACAATGCAAGATAATTATCTCATATTTTTTATTTTATTT